CCCTACCCCCACCTGGACCGGACTCGTAAAGGTGATATCCAGAATCCACATGGTTCTCGTAAAAGACGCGTTTTATGGAGGCTGAACATGCCATGATCACCCGGACGAACACCGCCGCAACTCATCCCCGGATTGGCTTCAGCACTCTGCTGCCCCGGTACAGCACGACTCTCCTCCTGAATATATATTTCGCACAAATGGAGTTCCTCCCCCCTGCTGCCCCCCGCCGGGCAGTAATGCCTCCGCCGGGCTTACATTGTAGGAGGAAGAGCGTTGCCATATTTCTTTTTTGTGCGAACTGATTTCTTTCCGAACGTGAAACCTGATCTGCTTACCGGAGCGGCGCCGTCCGAATTGGGCCGCTCGGCTCAACGGGAGGGGCGGGGTCAGCGTCGTCGAGGGGCGACAGGGAAATGTAATAGGAGCGCGGCGGCGGTGCGCCATCCCCGGTGAGGGATCGCCACAGGCACTCACCTGATTGTGTCTCCGACTGGACAGTCTCCTGGACGCTGTCTGCGAGCGGCGTGTCGTCCGGTACTCCCTCGTCGGGCCGCAGCACCACCTCGGCGAGGGACATGGGCACCTTGTCCTCCTCCAGGACCTCTCCGATCATCACCACTTCGCTGTCGTTCTCGCCGCTGTGCCCGAGCAGGTCGATGGCGTCGTCGACTCCCCCGCCGCCGCCGTCTCCTGGCCCCAGGGTGGCTGCGGGCCCCGACGCCGACGCCGCCCGGGCGGAGGGGGCGGCGGCCGCGGCGTGGGCCGAGGGGGGCGGGTCGTTAGGCGTCCTCCGGCGGGCCGACGCCGTATGCGGAGCGTGCCGGAAGACGCCGGTGCCGACGCCCGTCCACAGCAGCACGATGAGCAGCAGCAGCACCAGGATGCCCGCCCCGGCCGCCACGCCCGCGGCGCGCGCTGCCCGCGTCTCCCGACGGCCGGAGCCACCCCCGCGGCCACCGCCGAGCTGCACCCCTAGCCCCATGGTCTCCGTGTCCGTGTCGCCGTCGTGTCGGTCACCGGGACTCTCTGCAACAAGGAAGAAAGCGTTAACAAGGACGGACAACAAACACACACGGTCCCAGGTAGACAAAGTTTTCCGGAACATTTGAAAACTTGTCAAGGAAAACTTCGAAAAACTTCCC